TAGATAAATGGCAGAAACTGTGGGATAGAAATTATAAACTAACAATGTCAACAGCATATAAAGAAAATCTGTATAAGTTGTTTTATAGATGGCATTTTGCACTGGCAAGACTGGCAAAGATGTTTAAAGATAAATCAGCTAAATGCTGGAAATGTCACCAGACATCCGGAACATATTACCATGTGTGGTAGACATGTACAGAAGCTAAAAAATAGGACAAAAATACACACATGGTTGGAAAAGATGATAAAACAACACATAGACTTAAAACTGAGATATTTTTTTATTGGGGATTTTACCCAAAAATTATAGTAAAGAAAAAACATATTTACTCATACATATATTAACAGCAGGTAGAATTGTATTTGCTCAAAATCGGAAAAATGAAAAGATTCCGATAGAAGAAGAGGTGATCATGAAAATATTGGAATGCATAGAAATGATTAGATTAACATTGGCAATTAAAGAACAAGAAGAAGCGGAATATTATATGATATGGGATTTATTTTATAAATGGTTGGAAAATTCTGAGATAAGTAGAATGAGTTTTCCACATTTCTGACAGATGCCAAGAAGGGTGCCAAGCAACAGAAGTCTCTGTACCTCCGTTTAAGTGAATCATAAGAACATCTGTAACTCGGGGTGGAACTATGAAGTCCTTTGGTGCTCTCTGGATTTGGTTGTCTGCTTTCAGACATTTCAACTAGGTAGCATCAGTATGTATTAATAATGAAGTATCTACCGTGTTTCTCACATAATAAGGCCGGGCCTTATTTTTTTTTTACCCCCGACAAACCGGCTAAGCCGTCTTTTCGGGGGTGACTTAATTCCCCCCCCCCGTTGCATCCTCGGGTGGGCGGGCGGTGACAGCTTGGATGTTCGGGAGACCTTCCATTACCGTTGCTTTCCCTTCTCCCTTGCTGCCGTGGCGTTACAGGAAGTGCCTCCAGGGCCGTGGCAGAGCCGTGCAGGCTGGGCAGAGCCGGGAAAGCAAGCCGCGAGTGTTTCCTGGTTTTGCCCAGCCCGCACGGCTCTGCCACGGCCCTGGCGGGATGAGCGGAGGGCCCGGCGGGGAGGCACTCGCTGCCTTGGTGACATTTCGGGTGCCTCCGCCGCTTCCTCGCCCATCGCAGGTGGCAGTGGCGGCGGCAAGCGGCGGCGCTTCGCTGAGGGAAAAAGAAGACAGCGCAGCCACCTTGCTTGCTTTTCCACCTGCCCGCCCCAGATGGCCTCAGGAGCGGCGGCAGTGGCAGCAGGTGCGCACACTCCTGCCGGCAAAGGGAGAAACACCCACGGCTCACTTTCCCGGCTCTGCGCACCGCTCTGGCGCGGCCCTGGTGGGATGAGCGGAGGTTTTTAAAATATTTTGCTTTACCTTCAAAGGCAAAGGGAAGGCGGCGACAGAAGCGCCTGAAGCCAAGTGTCTCCTCAGGGCTCCAGTTGCAGGGAGGAGCCCTGACTGGCCGCACGTGGCTGTGCCAAATGCCGCGGTGTTGCTGTAACGCCACGGCAGCAAGGGAGAAGGGAAAGCAACGGTGGCGGAAGGTCTCCCGATATGAAGTGCTCCACCAACGCAGGCAGCACCATATCCGGGCATGCAACAAAGTACTTCCTAACAGCAAGCCCCCCCCCGCCATTCCCCACCCCCCATTTCACATGTTTAATATGGGCCTTAATTTGGGGGGAGGGGCTTAATTTGATTTTATACCAATAAATCATGCTGGGGCTTCCTATTGGTGGAGGCCGTATTGTTGGAGAAACACGGTAGAAGCAAATAACCAAGCTCCAGAGTGCTAAGCACTCCACAGAAAGGAACAATCCATTTATCCACTACACAGTATAGCAGATAAAAAATTAATGAACCTGGAAAAAGAGATGAAGTTTCCACTTTTAATGAGGCAAATTAAGGACAATTGTCTAGTCAGTCACCAGATTTATTAGTCAAAACAATAGAGCCAAAGAAATGTAATCATATTTAAGCAGCCTAACTAAGCAGGATTGAAGCTGAAACCACCAAGGTTATTGCACAAATAAAAATGGGAAGGGAGAGTTAATACAGTTGAGAGATGAATCAGGGGAAAAATACTTCCTCCCAAAGACAGGCTTTGGATTCAGTCCCATGACTGGAAGAAAAGAGGAAAGAAGAGACAGGCCAAATGGAACTGAAATTATCTAAGTCTATTGATTCAACAAAAGTCCTTATTTTTAATGAGCATTATGAATTACTATATCCGCATTTAGCTTTGCAGAACTTGATTTATAATTGCCCATTAAAATACAAGCAGTAAATTAAAATGATTAAAATGACATATTTAACAAGGCAAGGCAAAAAAGAAAACAGAAACCAAAAGGTAGCCCACAGTACATATGAGAGCTCCCTTTATGAAAGAAACTACACTGCTCAAAAAAATAAAGGGAACACAAAAATAAGACATCCTAGATCTGAATGAATGAAATATTCTTATTAAATACTTTGTTCATGACATAGTTGAATGTGCTGACAACAAAATCACACAAAAATTATCAATGGAAATCAAATTTAGCAACCCATGGAGGTCTGGATTTGGAGTTACACTCAAAATTAAAGTGGAAAAAAACACTACAGGCTGATCCAACTTTGATGTAATGTCCTTAAAACAAGTCAAAATGAGGTATGTGTGGCCTCCACATGCCTGTATGTGGCCTTCACATGCCTGTAGTGTGTGTGGCCTCCACGTGCCTGTATGACCTCCCTACAACGCCTGGGCATGCTCCTGATGAGGTGGCGGATGGTCTCCTGAGGGATCTCCTCCCACACCTGGACTAAAGCATCCTCCAACTCCTGGACAGTCTGTGGTGCAATGTGGCATTGGTGGATGGAGGGAGACATGATGTCTCAGATGTGCTCAATTGGATTCAGGTCTGGGGAACGGGCGGGCCAGTTCATAGCATCAATGCCTTAGTCTTGCAGGAACTGCTGACACACTCCAGCCACATGAGGTCTAGCATTGTCTTGCATTAGGAGGAACCCAGGGCCAACCGCACCAACATATGGTCTCACAAGGGGTCTGAGGATCTCATCTTGGTACCTAATGACAGTCAGGCTATCTCTGGCGAGCACATGGAGGGCTGTGCGGCCCCCTAAAGAAATGCCACCCCACACCATTATTGACTCACTGCCAAACCGGTCATGCTGGGATGTTGCAGGCAGCAGAATGTTCTCCACGGTGTCTCCAGACCCTGTCACGTCTGTCACATGTGCTCAGTGTGAACCTGCTTTCATCTGTGAAGAGCACAGGGCGCCTGTGGCGAATTTGCCCATCTTGGTGTTCTCTGGCAAATGCCAAACGTCCTGCACGGTGTTGGGCTGTAAGCACAATCCTCACCTGTGGACGTCGGGCCCTCATACCACCCTCATGGAGTCTGTTTCTGACCGTTTGATCAGCCACATGCACATTTGGGGCCCACTGGAGGTCATTTTGCAGGGCTCTGGCAGTGCTCCTCCTGTCCCTCCTTGCACAAAGGCGGAGGTAGCGGTCATGATGCTGGATTGTTGCCCTCCTACAGCCTCCTCCACGTTTCCTGATGTACTGGCCTGTCTCCTGGTAGCGCCTCCATACTCTGGACACTACGCTGACACAGCAAACCTTCTTGCCACAGCTCGCATTGATGTGCCATCCTGGATGAGCTGCACGACCTGAGCCACTTGTGTGGGTTGTAGACTCCGTCTCATGCCACCACTAGAGTGACACCACCACCAGCATTCAAAAGTGACCAAACCATCAGCCATAAAGCATAGGAACTGAGAAGTGGTCTGTGATCACCACCTGCAGAACCACTCCTTTATTGGGGATGTCTTGCTGACTGCCTATGCTTTCCACCTGTTGTCTATTCCATTTGCACAACAGCATGTGAAATTGATTGTCAATCAGTGTTGCTACCTAAATGGACAGTTTGATTTCACAGAAGTGTGATTGACTTGGAGTTACATTGTGTTGTTTAAGTATTCCCTTTATTTTTTTGACCAGTGTATATTTTTGGAATGTAAAACAAGATTTTTAAAACAAGATTGTTTTTCCTTTTGCCCTTAATGTTGGAAAGAAATTGGGTAAAGGTACTTGGAATTGTCTGTCTCTTAGTAGCAGAACTATCCAAAATCTTAACAGAACAGGAACATGTTTAGGAGGGGGGAGGGGGAGAAAAGGCAAGAAAAGAAAGGCGGAGTTCAAAAAACGAGCCGGATCAGGTCGGAAACTGTAGAGGAAAAACAAAAACCAACCGCATCCCTATGGGTGAAGCAGCTGGTCAGCTCCCTCTTCTATCGCTGTCATGTGATTCAGATCAGAGTAGTACTATGTAATAGCAGTTGGTCCGTGTTGCGCAAGGTACATAAACACAACGGGAGTGTAAACGGAAGCAAATTCGTAACTTCACGTCCTTTAAAAAACAGAACCCTGGATAAGCTGACTCTATGCAACGCTGACATTTGTAGTATGACTACATGCATGCTTACTCACTAGTAAGTTTTACTATCAAGGCTACACACAGAGAGAGCAGTGTATTGCAGATATTGGCTCTTATTCTGCTCTCTTTGGAAGCCAATAAAACAACAAAGGATACACTCTGCAAATGCTTCATTCTTTTGTCTTTTATTAAACAATCAGGCAACCTGTGCCTCAGCTGTCGAGAAAAGTCATCTTGCAGCGAATCTTTTCACTTTATGCTGCCTTTGAGCATAAGCAGAGTTTTTGCCCCGTTCAACCAGTTAACCGCTATAAAACTACTACATACGTATACCCGAGGGAAGGTGGGAGAGGCCATTTCGAGGCGCTGTCGACCCCGCGCAGCCTTTTATATTTACCTACCGATTTCCCCCCCCCCCCCCCCAAGCGCCAGCTGCAGCAACAAACAGGCTGTGCGCTCCTGGACAGCCACCCCTCCCTGCAGTTCTCACTTCTGTGCGCCTAACTATTATGTTACTCCATGAGCGAGTGTGTGTGTATATGCGTGTGTCTGTCAGGTGACTTGAGTCACGCAGTTTTCTCTCCTCTGGGAGGGACTGCAGGGCCTCGGCTGACTTTCCTTTGACAACTGCGCCGAGGAGGAAAGGAAAAAGGAAAAAATTTAGCCTCGAGTTTTCCCCCCACCCCCCCACCCCCGAGAGGCAACCTGGAGGGGCGACGCGGCGGGGAAAGACGTGCTTGGCGAGGACGAAGCCAGGGCGGGATCAGGATGAGCGAGGTGCCGGGGAAGTTGAAGGAGCAGCAGGAGAACGAAGGAGCGGAGGAAAAAGCGGAGGAGGAAAAAGACGAGGAAGAGGAGGAGGAGGAGGAAGAAGAGGAGGAGGAAGAAGAGGACGAGATTGTCGGGCTAGCTGACTATGGGGATGAGAGTGAGTCTTTCTCGGATGGCGACCACGAGAAAAGCGGGGACGGGGCGTGTAAGTAGTTCCTGCGGTTGCAACGGAGGGAGGACGAAGGAAGAGCGAGCAGCCTATTCGGGCGACTTTGCTGCCAGGCCTTTTGTTTGGGGAGGGGAGAGGAGGAGGGCAGAGCCCACCCGGGAGGTGCGCCCCTTTGAGAGCGCGCCCCGAGAGAGGAGGATGGGGCGGCTGGGAGTTAAACTTGGGCTCCTCCCAGCTTCGAAACGTTTGGGTGGGTGGAAACTGCACCCTAACATTTAAACCCCCTCCCCCCCCTTTTTGGCACACGTTTACTCGTGGTTTACTGAATCGCGGTTGGGTCAGTAGAAGGTTAAGGGCTAACTCGCTACTCCTCTGCAGTTCAATGTGCCGTGTGAACGCTTGTGGGGAAAAGGGGGGGGGAGCAACGGGGAATCAGCTGGCTTGAGGGGGAAAAGCAAAGATGGTTCCCTTCCATCCCCGCCGTTGATTCCAGTATTCAAGAGTCAGTAAAGGCTAGTCCTTAAATCTTCACCACAGGCAGCAAGGGAGATAACGTCTTAAAAATCGGAGCTGATAAACGGAGAAGGGTGAAAAATATTTATTTTAAAAATTAAATTGGTAATTCACCTTTCGTTCAGGAACTTGCTCTGCCTAGTTTTCCCTACAACAATCCTTTTAAGCCATAGTCTTAGGTGCAGCCTTTTCTCTTAGAGCAAGGATGCAAAAAAATTGCTATTACCATTTTTTAGTACCAGAATGGATAAGGCCAAAAACTGGGGTGGCTTTTTTTTTTTTTTGGGGGGGGGGGGGGGGGGGGGGGCAAATTGGAACTTGGTGTGATTTTTCAAGAAAAAAAAGCAGCCTGATATTTAGGATGCGTCTGATTCTTTTAAATTCCTGATCCTTTTGATCAAAACAGGCCCTGGTTCCATCTTCCTCTAAGAGAAAGTATGCACCTTTGGCAGTATAGTAGAATCATTTCTTGTATGTAACATAGTTAAAGGAAATAATGGGATCCCCTGTATTCTTGGACAAAGACAAGAAGAAACTCAGTTTTTCCATCTCTGCTCCTTAGAAATATTTCCCACAATCCAAACTGCTCCTTTTCTTTCCTGTTACTGCTGTGGAGAAGAGAAAGGATTGGAGATGCAGTAAAAACAAAACAATTGTTCCTAGTTTGGGATTTTAAGAAGAAATGGAAAAGAAATTGCTTCCTGGCCATTCATTTTCTTGGCCCTCTTTCTTCAGCTTTGCTGGTCACACGCAGTATTGTTTTGCCAGGACTACCAAATCTGGACTGCAGAAATCCAAAGATTTTCCCTTAGTAATTCTGCTCCTTAATAGGGATCCTAATATTTTTTCTCATGGCCACAAACTCTGGCAACACTGACAGAGAAAGAAAGTTTTGATGAGGAACTGAAGTTTGGGAGCAAGGAGACTGGATTTTTGGGATAGGGAAGCAATTGAATGAGGATGCTGTAAAGTGAAATTTAAATGTATGCATGAGCAAAAATAAAAGTTAGAATTAAGTGAGGGAAGAAAGTGAAAAATGTGGAATAAATGAAAAGCCTGAAAATAGAAGTCATTTGAGCGAGGATTTAAAATTGATCAGTGGGTGTACCTTCAAATTCATAGTAGATATAAACAAGATATTAAGGAATTTGGAATCTACAATAAATTACAGACTTTAGACAAAATTCTATTAGGACCGAGCAAAAAAAATATATCTAAATTTTACAAACATTTATTAGAAACTGAATTAGAACAAGAAATTGTCAAAGGAAATATGATTGCATGGAGCAGAAACGTGGGACGGAGCATTACTCTAGCAGAATGGGAAAGGATCTGGAACAGGAACATTAAGATCACGAAATCAGCAGCTTATAAAGAAAACGCATATAAAATGTTTTATAGATGGCACCTGCCCCCTTCGAGATTGGCGAAGATGCACCCCAACACGAGCCCCAATTGTTGGAAATGCCAAAGCATAGAAGGTACCTTCTTCCATTTGTGGTGGTCGTGCAAGGAAACCCAGAAGTACTGGCAAAAAATTAGGCGCTGGCTAGAGGAAATAACCAAGGAACAAATAGAGTACAAACCAGAGTCCTTCCTTCTAGGAATTTTCGATAAACAAATACCCAAAAAATCGAAGTATATTGTAATTCATATCTTAACCGCAGCCAGACTGGCATTTGCCCAGTGCTGGAAATTATCTTCCATTCCCACTGAACATATGGTTATTCAGAAAATTTTACAATGCGCCGAAATGGACAAACTAACCCAAGCACTAAAAAACAAAGAATCCTCATCCTATTACAACAATTGGAATCCTTTGTATAATTGGCTAAACCAAAGATAGATCACCTCTAGGAAAATTATGGCCGAGGGCCTCCGAAGCAGAGATAAAGAAAAGCACCGCCGATGATACTGTTGAAGAAGAAAGGATCTTACAGACAGTCACAAAATATGGTTTTATTTTAACTGTTTTCCCTACCCTATCCTTCCCCTCCCTTACTCTTCCCTTTCCCCTCTCTTAGGCTTTCCTCTCTCTCCCTCTTGGCCTGTACCAAGGCCTATTTGTCTTTTTGTTGTACATAATTTGTAGTTATGTTGTTCTTTTAAAGGTAAAACTAATAAAGTATTTTTCCAAAAAAAAAAAAAGAAAATAGAAGTCATTTAGGAGCAGATTGGTATAGGTTTTTGAGAAATTGGCAGGGAATTTAATAATTGAATAGAGTTTGACTTTGAGCTGGGGTAGCTTATAGTTGGCCTTTACTATGAGAATAGAATAATGCTAACATTCAGATGGGTTGGACAGCAGGCAAGATTTGCCTAGCTACCAATATGTGAGTGTGCTAGATTGAAATATATATTTGTGTCGTGCATTGTGATCTACAGAGAAATCTGACCTGACCTCTTAGAATGTGTTCTAAATTTTTAATAAATCCTGATATTGGGACTGGATTTTATTTTTTAGCAGATGTGCTTTTATTCCTATTTCTTGCAGAATGTCAGAGCAGAGACACTTTGCAAACATTAGCAGGGTACATTTTACAAAAATCTTGGAATTTTGGTTAATATTGTAGATGGAACACCAAGCCTGGAGGCTGAGAATGTGTGCATTTGCCTTAGTGAACTAGGATTTGGTAGTTTTTCAAGTGCAGTTCAAACTCTTTGATACAATTGCTTCACCAGCTGTAGAAGTAGTTAATAGTAAGATGGGTGTAAAATAATAAAAATAAATTCTTGTTTCCTACCTATATTTTAGAAGTAAGAACAAAAAGCACACAATTATAGAAGAGTTAAGTCTAAATAGGCAGCTAACTGTGGATTTTCACGCACAACACAAATACCCCAAATCTCCAAGGTGATTGCAAAGAAATGGCCTTTTACATTTCTACAACATATCTATATATTTGTTTTCATACACGTCTTACAGTTAAAAGGTATATTTACACATGACCCCATCTTTCATTTAAAAATAAATTGTAGAACACTTGTGCTCCCAAAATACATATAAAGATGAATACTATAGCCAGCTAACGCTCTGAAAGGTGAGATATTTCGTGAAAGATTATATGGTTCTAGGTTTTCTGTTTCCAATTGCTTTGAGAGAGCATTGAGCTTTTGAAGAGGGAACATATAGATCACAAGTATTGTCAGTTGTAGCTGTGTTTTGTGGGAAAGAACAGGAAGAGAAGGGGGAGGGAAGAGGGAAAGAAATGTGCATGTGACTGACAACAATAATGAGAAGTCCTAGCACTAGTATGGAATTCATAGATTGATGATCATTCAGTTTATTACATGGATCTTTTTTGTGTGTGTCATATACAAAAAAAAATAGTTAAGGGATTGAGAGCTTAAGCACAACTTGGAGAAAAATATATGGTATTTGAGCAAACTTTTAAAATTGTATAATGGTGCAGGTATTCAGTGTGCAGACAGAGTGCATGTATCACAACGACATGAAGTTTTTTTTTAAGGAAGGCCCATTTCAGATCCATAAAAGGCAAGAGCCATAGAACGGTTCAGAGTTCCTCTGCAGCTGTGAAAGTCAGTCTCCATATGGCAAGCTGTATCCCAGACAGTTATCCCGTTGATTTTGTTTTCTTGTTTTAATAAAACCAGTGCATTGGAATGATGGCACTCAACATACACTTATATAGGTACTTTTACAGAGAATTGTTTTTTTAATGGATTGGCAGAGCAAAACCTTTGGGCTTAAACAGAAGATAGGTTTTACAACATTTTCAGGAACACATGGAATATTTCCTTTTAAACTCTCTTTGCCTTTGCTGAGAAAAGGTAGAACCGCTTCAAATGTTAGGTTTCGTGCAGTATAGGCCTAAATATTATGGTTTGTGTGTTCTCATATGAATGAATAGAAAGACTTTTTTCTCTTTGGTTCAGAGAGGCTGTATTATTAAGTAACATAGTTGACATGCAGTAGATACTGAAGCAAAAATTGTTTTTAATAATAGTGTTTTGAGAAGCACTTGAACATTTCGAATGTAAATATCACAGAAATTGGTATACTTTTCCAGGTTCTTCATCAGATGTATTCCTGTGATTTGGTGTTATCTAGTTTCTAAAGAGAGCATTGATAAGGTTCGCTTCCATGAGTTGTAGATTAAAAAAAACCAAGGTGGGACAAGTGTGTGTGTGTGTGTGTGTGTGTGTAAATTTTTCATTTCTTTATTAAAGTTTGCACATCTATGAGATAGGAACATGGTAAGGCATGTACAGTATGGAGTTCTGATTAATGTAATCTGTATTTATTTCCACACTTTGGCTTATTTTGTGAGACGTGTGTTGTTTTTTTCAAACTAGCAGGGAGAGATAGAAAAATAGCTGGAAAAATATTATGTAGATAAATATTGATCATTTAAGTGGATCTTTTTGGCACCAGAAAAGAGAGAATCCTTCAGACTGCAAAGAAGAGTTAAAATATTAAATTTAAATGGCAATCAGGTTTGGATATAAGATATAGTTTTGTACATTAGATACAGTATAAACTAAAAAAAATGTTTTTATTTGGTTGTAGATTTCAATGATCCTTTTAGTACTGAAGTTAAGCCAAGAATCCTGCTCATGGGACTGAGAAGAAGTGGGAAATCTTCCATTCAGAAAGTTGTTTTTCATAAAATGTCACCAAATGAAACACTTTTCCTGGAGAGCACTAACAAGATCTGCCGAGAAGATGTTTCCAACAGCTCCTTTGTTAATTTTCAGATATGGGACTTTCCCGGCCAAATTGATTTTTTTGATCCTACTTTTGACTACGAAATGATTTTTCGTGGCACTGGAGCATTGATATTTGTGATTGATTCTCAGGTAAGAAGAAGATGATGTTAGACCAATTTGACTTCTCAAATCTTCATTTGTTCTTTGCACAAATGAACACCACCTGAGAGTAGAGGAATAGAATAGATGATAGAAAGTTAAGTAGAATGTGACTACAGAACTGTAAGCAAAGGTTGTTGTTTTTCTTTTTTACAATAGGACTCTTTTTCCATATCCTGGATTCTCACTGAAGCACACTCTACCTTTTTAAACCCTTTTCCTAAGTGTTATTGGAACTGGGAAGTGCAGTGTGAGATTTGCAACTAGTACAACTGTATAGAAACCAGAATTTTCACCCTTGTGTGAAGAATAAGCCTTTTATCATAAAAGGGATTCATTTGGATTTTGCTGTACATTCTGTTTTTATTTAGAAACTACTGCACAAATTCCTTTGATTGCAGAATTTTCTAAAGTTACCTATTTCTTGCAATAAGCATAGAAATGATTACAGCTAGCCTCAACTTATAACCACAATTGGGACAGAATTTCCGCTGCTAAACAATGACACTGAAAAGATGTGTCTTATGACCAGTCCTCACATTTTCCATTGCAGCATGCACATGGTCACATGATCAAATCCAGGCATGTGGCGACCAGCATGTATTTAAGATGTTTGTGGTGTCTCAGGATCATGTGATCACCATTTGCGACGTTCCTATTGGCTTCCGACTAAGTCAATGTGGGAAGCTGGGTTCACTTAATAACCACACAACTCACTTAACAACTGCAGTGATTTACTTGACAAAAAGGTAATAAAATTGGGTGTGACTCATATCAATCTTACTTAACAAGCAAAATTCTGGTCTCAAATGTGGCCATAAAGCGAGGACTACATATACATATAATCCATAATTATGGATTATGTTTGTGCTAGTGTGGTAGAGTGCCTAAAGTCCTCCAAATTCAAATCCACAGTCAGCTCCTCATCCATTCTCCCATAGTGCATCTGTGTGCCCAACTTTACAGATTGTTTTTGTGAGAAAAAACAGGACTGCTAAGTATATCAGCTCAAGAATTTTGAGGAAAGTTGTGATATAAGTGTAACAAATATATACAGTATATAATGACAAATCAACATGTCAAAGAAATGCTTAAATGAGGGAAATGAGGAAGGTTAAAGCTTTTGGTGACTATTACTAATGATGTCTATATATCATGTCAAATGTGGAGTATCTTAGCAACAGCTGCAAAAGAATAACAGCAGAAGTGTTGGCCATTGTGGGAATAGAATACTGGATTAAGTAGTCTTAAGGTGCTTGTAGTCTTTAAATAGAAGAGAGAGAGTTAATGATTAATAACTAGTTGAAATATTCCATCTTCTAAATGTCTATGGAGATTCTCAGTCATCCAAGTCATGGTTGTCCCAAAGGTCCTTTTTCAAGAGGCAACTGGACTTTCTGGTTTTTCTTTGAAGACGTTTCCCTTCTCATCCAAGAAGCTTCTTTAGCTCTTGAGAGACCAGAAAGTCCAGTTGCCTCTTGCAAAAGGACCTTTGGGATTCCGTCTTCTACTTTATTAATGAAATACAAATTTAATGGAATGGGAGTTTCATATAATGCTTTTTGAGTCAAAAGAATTCAGGTTGAAATTTTAAGTCATGTGTTTTTATCCAATTCTTTTTTTAGGATGACTACATGGAAGCATTAGCTAGATTGCACCTTACTGTGACAAGAGCATATAAAGTAAATCCAGATATAAACTTTGAAATATTTATTCACAAAGTAGATGGTTTGTCTGATGATCACAAGATTGAAACACAAAGAGACATTCATCAGAGGGCTAATGATGATCTTGCAGATGCTGGACTAGAAAAAATCCACTTGAGGTGAGAAAAGCAGTCCAATGGCTGGAGTTTGCTGGGGAGAAAAAGGAAACTGCAAGTAATATTAAAAGAAGCGCCATAGGGTCAAACGTGGGAAATGTCTTAGTAAGCTTAATTTCATGATCAAATAGAATAAATGTTTGCTGGTGTAGCCATGCTTAAAACATTAAAATTAACTTTTTAAATTAACAGGCAAGCAGGGTGAGATTCAATCGGTGTTACTACCGGTTCAGTGAGTATGTTTTGCATACGCGCATGTAAAAAACCTTAAGCTGTGCTGCCCGTACAGCTGAAAAGTGCTGCGTGCAGGTGCACAGCGTTTGAAAAGCAAAGCAGCTGAGGTTGAAAAAGCAGGAAATAAAGGACGGATAAGAGCCCGGGTGGGCCAAACAGCAGCAGACATAGAACCGGTCCAATGTCTGCTGCTCTTCAGAGCTACCAGTTCTCTAGAGCCAGGCAGAATCAGTAGCATCCCACCCCTGGAGGCAAGTATTCCAGTCATTCTCAGTCAATATATTATTGATTCCCAGTTACATACTTCTAATGAGCACCACTTTGGGGAAGGCTCCAGTGATGCATTTTACTAGCCTCAAAGTTGTTGATGCTCCTGACTTGGAGAAAACTATATTGAGAATGTATGTATGTAAAGGTAAAGGAGTTCCTGTGGATTTTACTCCGCTAGTCGTTACTGACTTTAGGAGGCGGTGTTCAAGTCTGTTTCAAGCACTGAGCCAGTGTTGCCTGAAGACATTTCCGTGGCTAGCATGATATCATGGAGTGCTGTTATGTTCCCACTGAAGTGGTACCTATTTATCTACTTGCATTTGCATGCTTTCAAACTGCTAGGTTGGCAGGAGCTGGAACCAGGATGGAGCTCACCCTGCCATGTGGCACTGGGGTCTTGAACCCAGGCTACCAGCTTTTCAGCAGACAAGCTGTTACCCACTGAGCCACCACATCATCCTATAAACACACACACACACACGTGTGTGTGTGTGTGTGTGTGTGTGTGTATGTATGTATGTATGTATATGTTATTCAGCTTTGTTCGGGTATTTTCTCACGTCATAGTTGTGCTTTTAAAGTAGCAACGTTTCGGCAGAATCTCATCTGCCATCATCAGGCTTCTGTATTGTGTTCGTCTGTGAGTCAGACTTTTACAGTGGTTTCAGTTTTAAATTTGGGGCTAGCCAAAACTGAAACCACTGTAAAAGTCTGACTCCCAGATGAACACTATACAGAAGCCTGATGATGGCAGATGAGATTCTGCCGAAACGTTGCTACAACTTTAAAAGCACAACTACAATGATGTGGGAAAATACCTGAACAAAGATCAAGTCACAATTTTGAAAGATATTTTTAATCCAATGCTCTGTTTTTTACCCTTCATTCGGTTTCTACTTTGTTTTCCATCAATATATTCTATATGACTTATAAAACAAGCCATAACATAGAATATTAAGTTATTTTTTTCAGCATCTTTTTGTATTTTTAATTATAATCTTCACAGATGTTTACTTCAAATGAACATATTATGTTTCTTTTTCCAGCTTTTATTTGACAAGTATATACGATCATTCTATATTTGAAGCATTCAGCAAAGTGGTTCAGAAATTAATTCCACAACTCCCAACTTTGGAAAATCTGCTTAACATTTTTGTCTCGGTAAATATGTTTGTGCATGTATTTCCTATGTTTTTCATATTTATTGCAAAAGGACATTTTATTTTTTTAATGTTTTGAAAAATATTGCTATTATTTAAGCCATTATGAGATTCTGTATGAAACAGTGCATTCCAAGATAGGATGGAAAATCTTCAGAAGTGGAAGGATCTCAAAACCCACTACTTAGTCTTGCCAGAGTTCAGCTGAAGCCTGTTTTTTTCTCTAGTTCAGACCCCACAGCTTCCAGATGTTAGGAAAGAATCTCAATTGCATTACTCCGTTGGCCTGCAGCTGAGAGGTGTAATTGAGCTACACAGGTCACAGAGATGTGCTGGCAGATAATCTCCCCAGCAGCTTCATATAGATTCAAAATAGAAGTGCTAAGAGATTAAAGCCCAGAGAAATCTGCAAATCAGGGGCCTTGGGCCCAATCTTTCTCCAATACTACCTAGAGCCAGCCCGGGACAAAGAACCATGGGAACACCATGCCATGCACCATGCCAATCCAGAAATATATCATGATCAATGATATCAAAGGTTGCTAAGAGATTGAAGAAGGCCAGGACAGTGTACTACTCCCATTCTGATCCCACCAAAGGTCATCAAGAATAGCAACTAGTGCCATCTCAGTATTACAACTGAATATGAAGATTGACAGAAAACAGTCCTAGAGTTCTGGGAAAGTTATTTCTGTTGTGCAATGTATTATTTTATAATTATTCTTTAAATTTATATCCTGACTTTCAGCATCTCTGGGCAGCTATATTATACGGTATTATGTAACGTAGAGAGACTGAGTGTGGGAGAGAAGAGGATTGATATAATTGTATGTTTGTGTGTATATTATGTTCAATATA